TATATATATATATATATATATATATATATATATATATATATATGTAAAGGTTCCTCTTGTTGTTTTATAAGTAAGAAAACAACCAATAAATGGTTAAGAAATATTCTATTACGAGATGTTGTTTTTTTCACTAGCTGGTATATCTAATTTGTCCAACACTTTTGAAAATATAAATTGAAAGTTGACTTGGTTGCTCCTAAAAAAATACTTAATAAACAATAAAGTAACAGAAATTTCTTATAAAATTATTCATAATGTTTATCCTGGTAAAGCATTTTTGATTAAAAAAAAAAGATATAAATGGGATTTGGACCCAGTGTGTACTTTTTGTAAAAAAAAAAAAAAAAAAAATGATGAAGAAAAGCCTATTCATCTTTTTTGGGGTGTAATTATACCAAAATATTCTGGAGAGATATGTCAATTTTTTTTTAATCAAAAATGGGATGGAGAAATGTTAACTTGTCAAAACAGAATTTTTACATGTTATAAATATTTTTTTATTATTTATGGTAAATATCATATTCACCCCTCCAAATATTTTCAACAAAAAATGATTTCCAGATTTTATTATCTTCTGTTAATATCTATATAGAATCCTTTAAATTTAGTTCAAATGCTAAAGCCATGCAAATTATAACTGCCTTTAAGGAATTATAACCCTCCAGCATAGATTTGATTTGATTTTGACATTTTAAAATAATAGTTGGTCTGTAAAGCCCTTTGTTCTTGTATATGTTTGTAATTATTAATGTTCTATATTGTTCATGTATGTTCTTGAGTGTAGCAACATTACTTTACATCAAATTCTATTTTTTAGTTTTGTATTCTGTAGATAAATAAATAATGCTTTCCTTAATCGGTGAATATCCTTTATATTTCCTTTATTTCCCAATATTCCTTTAAGACTCCATTCTTTGCCTGTCCTTCCAACCATCCTTCTCTATTTCTCCCTTTCATGTACATAAGTTTTACAGTTCATCAATACATGTTCTACATTTTCTCCACATCCTTCACATTTATCATTATTTTTCCTCCCTATTAAATATAAATTGTCATTTAAATAGGTATGACCCACTGTTAATTTGATCATTATTACTTCTTCCCTTCCTTTTCTCTCATTAATGATTCTATTTAATATTGATTTTTGAACCTTATATAATCCTCTTCCTTTCTTATCTTTGTTCAATCTCTTTTGCCATTTTTCTATTTCTTTACTCTTAAGTGATTTACCTTCTCCTTTCCCAAAATGAATAGTAATTGTTATTGATCCCTCTAAATTCCCCTTTGCCAATGTATCTGCAGTAAATTTGTTTATTCGATTCATATATATATATATATATATATATATATATATATATATATATATATATATATATATATATCTGCATTACTCTATTACCAAGTAATTTAGATAAGCTTATTAATATACTACCATTTTCCAGTACATGTCATCCCAAAATATATTACAAAGAAAATCAAATCAAATCAGACCTCTCCAGTTTGTTGGCTCACATTATTCACCTTGGGAAGTTGGTGCAGTTGTGCCAGAAACTTCTGGATCTCTTAGTTATAAGTTGTTTGGAAGGGCAAATTATTTGTCTTTTGGGTTTTTTTGTTTTTAGCAAATTTTTCTGCCTTGGTTGACCTTTTTTTTTATTGTTTGTTTCAGAAAGCCAGAATATTAAGCTGGTGTATTAATCTATTTTTGATGTATTGACTATGTATGTATTTTATCTGTTTTTCCTCGGCCAACATTTTTAGGAAAACACCAAAAAGCTTCAAAAAGTTGTACAGCACATTTAAACCATATCTGTATGTTTTAGATATGTAGAGGTTCTATTACGGTAAATAAAAACCTAAGAAAAGGAGACTGTGTTCCTGTTTGTTAGGCTCACAATTGTCTCTGATATATCAAACACATTTTTTCTTTAAAAAGGAAAATTCAATATAAAGGAGAAGTTTAGTATAAAGTTGTCGCTTTATACATCTTCTTCCTCTTCCACAGAGCCACACAGAACATGGAGGATTTTATTCAGTTGTGGGGTTTTAAAAACATTTTATGTACTGTGTCAGATGATGGAGAACTCCATTTTAACAAGCTCTTAATTTAATGATTTTAACTTGTTTTGATTTTAATAGTGATTTTTAACTGATACTTGTTTTATGTCAATTGTTTACATGTTTGAATTGTGTAAATAAAGTAGTCTTCTTCTTCCTTTCTTATGGCGTTTTGCAAGCAACGTATTGAGTGTGGATCGGGACGCTATATATAAATTCTCTTACAAAACAAAATGCAATTTAAAAAAAAAGCGTTATACATCTGTCTAGAAGTATGAACTATAACCTTTGTTAATTTGTCTTTTTTTAACCATGTTGATCATGCGCAAACAGTAAATGGCTTTACATTGATCATGCTTTTACTTTGAAAAGGTGGAAATACAGGAAGAGAGTTCAGAAAGCGATGCTTGCGCACGGACAACGCATTTTAATGCCTTAAATAAACCCATAAACCATTCAGTTTCGGTTTTTGACATATGCACAAATGGAGGCTCTAAGATCAAAACAAAAAATAATAGGTATGTAGACGAATGATGTCCGTTTGATGAAAATGAACGCTGACGACGTTTCAGTTACTAAGCTAATACTTGGGGCCCGTCTATTTAACGGAACCGTGATATTTTTTTAATATCTACCGTAAAGCACAGATGTTTTTATTGTGTTATTAATTTAGTCATATCTACATTGTTCAATATTGAACTTTAATTTTTAAAAATGGATCTCTAAATATATTAGTCTGTGCAGTTTAAGGAGATATTTCCAGCAATTATTCCAGTTCATAACCATGAAAATAATGCATTACCATATCTTGATTTGATTATAAATGAAATAAAGCTGTGTATAAGTAAAGCACATTGCTATTTATGTGTCTTGTAATTAATTCGGAGTTAGGAAATGGAAATGGAATTTCTGCAAGCGAAACTCTACAAACTTCTGAGTAAGCAACCTAATGCTGCCCCCTACTGACCGTTTCTTCCCACTACACCGCTCTGTTTTTAGATCCAAGCCTGCTTTTGTCATCCCTTCGCCTCCTGGTTCCACCTTTGCAGCTTCTGTCTGCTGCCATGTGGCATGTGGTGAAGCAGAAGGATGTGAAAAACTACTGGAAACTGCAGGAGTTTGTCTGCATGGTGACAGAGGCAGTACCCGGCCTGATCCAGCAGCGACAGAGAGCACAGCTCCTGCTCGGCCTGAGGGCCAGGGTCAGCCTCAGCTTGATTCATGATTAAATGGGTTTTATTGGTCATGCTGTTGGTAACACTTTTTATTGGTATTTTTAGTTGATTTTGGAGCTATGTAAAGGCAGTGCTGTTGGAGAAGTGGATACTCAGGGAATCCAGAGTTACTTGGACAGACTCCCAGTCAATTGTACCACAATACATGTAAGTATAGTTAGGAGGAAAATAACTATTTAAATAATACTCAGTTAATGATACGATTTCTGCAGCAGGGCGTAGATGCAGAGGTGAAAACAACCGAGGCAACGTTTATTGCACTGGTTCAGAGTTTGCTCAAAGATCCAGCAGAGAGGGCCTATTTTTTTCAGGTGAGAATAACTTAAATTCAGCATTTATCTGCTTTGATTCAAGGAAATGATTAAAATGATGATTCATTGTCTATTACAGGAGGTGTTCCCTGCCGAATACGGCCAGCAGTACGATGCAGCACTACAAGTGTTGTTGTGGGAGCTCCTCTTGAAGCTGGAAAAGCTACTTCCAATACCAGACCTGAAACAGGTATTTATAAATATATTCTTACCTCTTAAAGTTTTTCCCATTTTGTCACATTAAGGCAGGGGTAACCAATTAAAAAATCAGCGGGGTCAAAATAAAGAAAATCCTCAACCAGTAAAGGTCCGGAGACATTTTTACTTTGAAAATAATTTAACACTGGAATAAAATTAGATTTTTATGCATCAATGTTATACATTGAATTTTTAAGTAAAAGTTATTCAAAGAAATAGAAAATTTTTCCATTTTAAAATCTAAAGTGTTTTTGAAGCAGAGAACAACAATCTTTTAGACAATTTCCTGATTCCTATATCTTAGAAAACACCTGAACTGACCGTTCGTTTTGTTTTTTCCTTTTTTCTGGCTTAATGAGAGCAGTGGGCTTTATGCTGCCCTGCAAGGATTTAAACTGGGTTTGAATGGCGACAAAGCCATTCTAAAGCACAAAGGTTGAGCCAAACATACTCAAAATATGCAGGGTCATATTGGAGCACGCCACTTCAGTTTTCTTTCACCACTTCACTGCAGTTCTTCCAGCAGGCCACATTTTCTTTCAGTTTCTCATCATCTTCTCCTTCTTTCCCATCGCCCGGCTTGATACAGGTTTGCCTGCTGTGTCTAAAAGTAGCAGCAGCAGCAGCCCAGACTGACAGCTCATTGTCTGCTGATCCGTGACCTCTGCATTAAAGCTTCAAACCTTAATGGAAGGATGTTTTACTTTTCCTTAGTTAAGGATTTTAGTGTTATCCTAAAAGCTAAAACAGGTTTTATTTAAGGATTTTTTTTGTATTTTTGTCAGCTCTGATCGGCTTCCTGCTGATCATTATGGAGATAATATGCTCAGGTTACTACTATAGTTTTCCTTGATGAAGATGAAAGTGGAAAAATCTTCAACATGACTAAAAGGAGGGCTACATTTTTCCTCTAGAAGGTTGATAGATATGCTCTGTTCCTGCAGACGACTGCCTGGTTCATCTCCGCTCCTTCTCCTTTGGAGGATTGCATCCAGTCATCATCCGAGGAGCTGAGCTCCATCTTCAAGCACTACAAAAGCTCAGGATTACTGAAAACGACGTGTAAGTTCATATGAAACATCTCATTCGGAAGTTCTTTTTCAATAAAACAGTTTTGTTTTTTCACAGATGGGCCATCTTCTACCATGGGTAGCTGTATCCTCTCAGCTTTGTCAGTTCCTCCTTCGCAAAAGACAAACCTATCAGCTGGACAGCAGTCCGTTCACAGCTGCTCGAACACACTGAGCCGTTTCACCCTGGCTGAGGCAGGAGAATGCAACGTTGTGGCCTATTACACTGAAGTGGAAGCCAGGTCGTCTGATTTGGAGGCCGAATCGGCAGAGATTCAACTTCAGACGGAGTGTTACGAAGAAGAAATAGTTGCTCTGAGTGCAGATACCACCGGTGGGGGTGATGAAGAGGAGGCCCTCAAGTTTAGGGAAGAGGAGACGGGTAAAGCCGGCGGCATCGCTAAAGCTTTGGAAACTTTAACCAAAACATTTGCACTGAGAAGTGAGAACATGGGAAATGAGACGGGTTTGGGGAATGGATCAAATGATTATCAGGAAACAGGAGATCAAACCGAGAGAAGAGAAGAAGAGGATGCAGAGATGCTGCGTGATTTCCAGCCCAAAGCTTCAGAGGCTCACATTGAACCGTGTGCGGATCTACAGAACAACAGCAAGCCTGTCGATCAGGGAGAAATGACAAATTCCTTCACTGGAGCCTCTGCATCTCAGGAGCATGACCTTCAAACAGCCACATGTTTGCTGACGAAGAGTTACCCAGGCTGGCAGAAGATGGATGACGTTAAGAGGTTAATGACATTCTGAAAAAGTGTAGGAAACATATATCTAATGTTGTGGCTCTACATGTTTAATACAGGGTTTCCGCAGGTCATTAAAAATCATTAAAAGTCTTAATTTTTTTTAAATGAAGGCCTTAATTGGCATTAAAATTAATTAGATGTGATTATCCTGGCATTTAAATTGCTTTATTTCAAACAAAAAACAATTTGGTCAGATATATTATATCAGATATAACTGGTTCTGCATGTTTGCGCAGAACTGCTTCTGGTTTATTGTAAAGCTGTATGTTCGGAAAAGAAACTCGAGGCGGAAAAAATTAATTTTTTTTTTAGGAATTTGGGAGGCTGCAGCCTGTCGATGGTAAAGATGACAACGGTTTTTAACTGTTTTATATGTATATATGAGAGTCATGGGTACTTATTGATGGCTTTTAAGAGCATTAAAAAGGGTGAAATTAGAGTCACCCATTCCTGCATAAACCCTGTAATATTAATAAGCAGGATTATGTATTTAAGGAAGCATTAATCAACACTGCAATGGGGCTCTTTTCTCTTCTCCCGCTGACAGCCGGGGACAGATGGTGTTCCCTGCTGACGCCTCTAAGTCACTCATAATGGTTATTATAGTGTTGGCGGCCATATGCCAGCTTTATGTTTGTATTATGTGGAATATTATGTTACCTTTTGCCTAGTTATCAGTTAAACCAATCATGTTCATTAAGCTACTAAGAAAATCTATATAATTTTCTATACTTTCAATTCAGTTTATTTCTATAACGCCAATTCACAACAAGGCCCTTTACAATTGAACCAGATCATCCAGTCTATTTAAGGAAAACCAGCTGATTGCATCGACTCATTGACTCAAAGGCAATCCCTCACACCAAGCATGCTCGTAGCGACAGTGGAGAGGAAAAACTCCCTTTTAACTTTGGATTTAAGCATGTTTTTTTTCGCTAATTAATTAATAACCTGGTTTCCAAATTACAGAAAAGCGTATGAAAGGTCGATCTCTGATTTTTTTGTTTCTTTAACAGGAAAACTTCCGACGTGACGCTTGCCCCGTCTGTGGTTGCAGTCAAAGGAACAGACAAAGGTAAGGAAGAGTCCTCCACAGTAGTCAGCACCTCTGGAGATAATGTGGAATACGCTGAATCATCAACTTGATTGTAATATCGAGCTAATTGCTATTTAAAATAAATTTAGGTTAAAAAAAAAAAAGTTTAAGCTGAGTTGACATTTCCTGACTATTATTCATGTATCTTGTCCATCTCCAGGAGTTTCTTTAATGGGTTATGTATCACTTATAATATATATCTAAAAAAATCACCCTAAAAAAAGTAAAGTATATAAAAAAATTACAATTATTGCAACTTTTTTATTGTATAATCATAAAGTGTGGTGCCGATGATTTTGTGAAAAAAGAATCATTTTTATTGTAATAGGAATTCTTCGACTAAATTAATGAACATTTATTAAATTAAATTTTTTTTATTATTTAATGTCAGATTTAACTGTATCTACCAGCAAGAAGATGTTAAATTATTGACCTTTATTCCACAGGTTTGGCTTATGTGTTGTTGTTTTTTTTCTTTGTTTTTTAAGATGAGGTGACGTCCATCATCTTCACCTGCTCACGCTGTCCGTTCCATGCCTCAGAGGTCTGCAGTCCTCCTCACTTCCACATGCAGAGCGTTCCCACTGAGGTGTACAGAAGTTTCACAGGGGAGAAATACACGCCATCCCCTTCCAGCTCTGATCAGATATTTACCTCCATCAAGCTTTTCCCTAAAGGAAACGCAGAGACTGGTTCTGAGGGGGATGATGGCGTTCTTCTGGGTCTCAGCAGACAGAAGTCTCTGACGTGTGAAACGTGCGGGAAGACGTTCACCCGTACGTCTGATGTGAAGAGGCACCAGCTGACGCACACCGGGGAGAGACCGTTCCACTGCTCGCAATGCGACCGGACCTTCCAACACTCCTGGGATTTGGCGAAGCACGAGAGCAAGCATCACGGCGTGCCGATTTCCTTCTGCTGTCAGCTGTGCGGCGGCTCCTTTGCTAACCTGCGCGCTCTGACCGTCCACCATAAGAAGTCTCACTCAGAAGAGAGCCAGTTGCCTCAGATCTGCTCCATCTGCAGCAGAAGCTTCCCCACCAACGCCGAGCTGCTGGAGCACAGGAAGTCCCACATCACCACCAGGCGCTACATTTGCCAGCAGTGCGGCGATGGCTTTGACACGCTGCTCGCCCGCTCCCAGCACAGGCAGCTGCATCAGGTGAAGCGGCAGTTCAAATGCCCGCACTGTGACAAAACGTACACCCGCAGGTCTGATGTAAAGAGACATTTATCCAAGCACACCGGGGAGAGACCTTACCAGTGTAACCAGTGCAACAAACGGTTCCCAGTTCGCTTTATGCTTGTTAAGCACCTCCGGGTCCACACAGGAGAGCGACCTTTCCAGTGCTCCCATTGCTCTAAGAGGTTCACCCTGGTGTCTGTGCTGGCCCGACATGAACGCATGCACACGGGAGAGAAACCGTTCCTCTGTTCTCAGTGTGGAAAAGGTTTTTTATCGCAGGGAGAGCTCTCCAAACATCACAGGTCGCACCTGGACGAACGGCCGTACTCCTGCTCTCAGTGTGACAAACGATTCAAGAGCAAAAAAACTCAACAGGAGCACATCATCTCCCACAGCGGCGCCCGCCCGTACCTGTGCACCCACTGCGGAAAGGGCTTCTCCAAACCGTACGCTCTGACCAGACACAACCTCATCCACACCGGAGAGAGGCCATTCCCCTGTGGACACTGCGAGAAGTCCTTCCTCACGCTCAGCGAGGCCCAGCTGCACCGCAGGATTCACACCGGAGAAAGGCCGTACCCCTGCGACGCCTGCGAGCTCAGGTTTAAGAGCTCCTCAGAGCTGGCGCGCCACAAGCGTAGCCATTCAGGGCTGAGGAGGGAGAAGCCGACGTGCGAGGAATGCAGGACAACATTTCCATCACAGGCCAAACTAAAGAAACACATGGAGATGCATGTAGAGGCTGCTGACCTCAATAAGGACACAGTCAGATAATCATGATCAGAACGACTGATGACAAATGAGAGCTGCATTTATCCCATTGAACTATGGATACATTTTTTTATAGAAATCATTCTGAGAGTGTAGGATTTTGTACTTTACAATTTTATCAAACATCAAAAGATTAGCTTCAATAAATATTTTAACTCTAAGTTGTGTTTGTGTCTTTATTTTTTGAATATTTCTGTGTTTTATGAGTGATTTTTTTTATTTTAATGCATCACTACTGAACATGACATAAAGCAGGGATTACACCACTTGCGTGACCGTTTAAATTTGTTGCATCCTCAAAATAATTCAGTGCTCGTCGTTGGGAGCAAAACTGATTATATCCCAAAGTGAAAATGTGTCATTTTTGTTTGGGCACCATTGATTTCTAGTGCTGTCAAAGGTCTCCTAGGTAGAGCTTATCAGAGCTTCAAAGGTCGCCACTGGGAAAGCACCACGACAACAACGTGGAGCTGGGTGAAGTTAGAGATTTTATTAGAATGTGAGGGGTTCACTCCGTATACATTACTTATATTTTCTTTATTAAAAATCTACAAAACATTCTGGGAAATCTAAATGGCTAAAGAAATTAAATCTGTGGAAGAGAGCAGGTTTCTTTAGAAATCCCCCTTTTCCCAGTTAATATGGTTAAAGTCACACACAGGGTATCACATTGGGGGTAAATTATTTAAACAGCATTACTTTGGGTTCTCTTTTAGCCCTTTATAGGGCAAGTTAGCGTTTTTTATGACATGCATACCCCTTACAAATAGTCTCTGTCCCTCAGTGAGGTCTAGAAGCACAATATCTATATCCAGCCATTCAGCAAAGATGCTGCTACATGGCTGTACATCTTATTTTGACATTTGACCAATTAGATTAGCTCTGAATGATATATTGCCTCTTATTAAATAAGTTATGTCAAGAAAAAAAAGGTAAAAAGCTAATTAAAATGTTAAAAAGTAAAGTTTAGTATTATTTAGGTTTATAAACAAAAAAATGCCAGTATCAGCATTAATGCATCTAAAGTTATATTGTACCAAAAACGTTTTTCTTTCACTCTCTTTTTCATGAATTTCTTATAGAAGCACTTTTGTTATTTTTCTTAATGTATTCGGTCAAGTTGGCATTTCTTGCAATCAAAATATTCATATTTTTGGAATGTTACAAAAGTAATAAAGCGAACCAGTAGCCTCGTGTGAGCTTTCAAGATTTCACTCGCAGATCAGTCTGGAGACTCTCCGTTAAAGAAAATTTGGAGCCGTTCACCAAACGAACGTCCAATCAGCGTTGGCTTTGAGGCGGGTTGAGGTGTGACGCAATGAGAAGCGCGACAGTTCAGTCTAAAGAACATGGCGGCTTCAGCCGATGATACTAGCGTTAGTGTGGCTATCGAGCAAGTTTTATCGGAATTACAGAGTATTTCTTCACTGAAAGAAGAGCAAAACACTGCTCTGGAGGCTTTTCTCAGAGGAAAAGATGTTTTTGCTCTTCTCCCGACTGGTTTCCGCAAGAGTAGCCTGGCTTGTGGTTGTGTTTTCGTCGTCGCTCTGTTAGTACGTCATATGCTTCGTTGATCTGATTGGTTTATTTGGCCCGTCTATCACCAACATAGGCCAATCAGCTAACCACTATTTTCGCCCCTTCCCAAAATTACTTCAACGGAAGGTTTCCAGATGGATATGCGGAGCAAATCCATCTGGCGGAGTCAGGTTAGCTAAAAGAAATCTGTAAAAAAAAACATGTTATGCATGTTATGACTAGAGGAGCCCCTTACCTAAAGTTTAAATGACAGTGTGATCAGAAAGTGAGATTGCACAAATTTAACTTTCATGGGGGAAACTTTCCTGTCTACATTTTAACAGTATTTTCTGTGTTCTATAGTTTTTAAAGTAACACTTCTGTTTGCTTATTTCTTCAATAAAACAGGAAAAACTAACAAAGGTACAAAAATATTTTTATTACCATTTTTTATATTACTTGACCTTTTAAAATAGGCCTATAGCATTAACACTTAATAGTCCAAGCATTACTCTTGTCTGTAAATTTTTAAGATGTCAAGACTCCTTTGCAAAATTTGAACAAATATCAGGTTTAAAAGTACATTTTTGTTATGTTTGTTTAAATGGAAAAAAGGTAAACTTCCAACTTAATTGCTGTTTTATCCAGAGATAAATAAATAAAAAAGACGTGGATGTTTGAACATTTCTTTAAAATTAATTTAGTTTTTCACAAGAATATATATTTGTATCAATGTATAATTCTTACAGTTTTTAGTTTGTATATAGCCCTGTTGATTAGGTGGTGATGACACTTTTAAAAAGGAAAGTACAAAGTCTGCAGGCTTCATATCAGTTGATGATTTTCCTTATAGTGTTTTATCTGATTTTACTGCATATTCTGATAAGAGTGCTACTTCCTTCTCAAACCTCCAAATGTTTATAGTTATATTTGTAGATCCCAGAAAGAGTAAACATATCCAATAAAACTCATGTCCAGTTTTTATGAGCTAAATTTTGATTATCTTTGCAGCCTGAGGAAACTTATCCTGCACACTCCTCCAGTTTACCCACATATTCCCCTCTCAGTCATCATGTCAGAGTTATGGGGCTTCTTATAAAGGGGAGCGTCTGAATGAGTTTAATTAACTGAGAGGTTTTAATGAGCTCCGACTGGATGGATGGCCGGTTGGGGGACAGCCATGTGATCAGGAATCACCGCCGTAAAAGCGGCCCATCCGTTAAATGGGGGACCAAGGAGTGACTGTGGCCCACCGAGCTGACAGATTGCAATAAATAGACAATAAAAGCAGGGAAGGGTCACTGGTCTGAGATTGACTTTCTATTTTTAGACCACCAGGTGTTTGGAGGGTATCCCAAAGGTTTAGACACTGTAGAATAATATAACAAATGGAATTAAAGGCTAAATTAGAGTCCATATGTTGACTAAGAAGTGATATTTTATCTAATCATCAGCACAGTATAAAAATAAAAGTGGATTCAATCCATTAGTTTTTACAAAAATGCTTTGGAAGAGATACAGTGTTTTTAAAATAAAGCATATTTTATCAAAATTTTCTAGTTTCTTAAACAATGTCCATCCTACTCAAAACTTCCAAACATGCAACAAATGTTAAGACTTAATACTTAATAAAGATTCTCTTAGTTGTATATGAGAAAATAACCCCTAATATATCATAATACATGTTTCTGTTTTTAAATAGCTTTAAGACAAAAAAAAAAGAATGAAGAAAACAATCTGGTTTCAACAGAAGTCAAGATACATTGTAAGATATATTGCTCTCAAATGACATTTTAAGGTAGTACATTTACAGTTAAAGGCTTTGAAAACTGATAAAGCAACAAAGTCAATGTTATCAATCTTTAATAGAGCAAAGACCCAAACCGCCCACCACCCCAACATGTCTTCTAAAAAAAAAAAAATCAAAATACCAAATCCAGCCACTTTTCCAAAACTGAGGATTATCCAGTCAAAATGGGGCAATTTCAATTTAATTCAGTTTATTTATAAAGCGCCGCTCCGCAACATATCATATCAAGGCACTTTACAGAGACAGTTCATCCAGATCATACAGTCGAACTGATTCAAAGTTCTCTATCTAAGGAAAAAGTTGATTGCATCAACTCATTGCCAAAGGCAATCCTTCACACCTAGCATGCTTGTAGCGACAGTGGAGAGGAAAACTCCCTTTTAACAGGAAGAAACATCCGGCAGAACCAGGCTCAGTGTGAGCGGCCATCTGCCGAGGCCGACTGGGGTTCAAGGAGACAGAAGCAGAGACACAAAAGGCAATTTAATTCTCATAATTACATTTATATGTCTGGATGGAAATTGAATTAGGCTAAAACATTTGAGCCCAAAAAAGCTTAAAACTGTGACAGTCGACATTTTTACTACGTTGTTACTTAGTTTTACTTAGTTGTTAATGTTTTTTAAATGTATTTATTCTTTTTTTTCACAGTTGTTAAGAAAAGCTGAGTTTTTTGTTTTTCGCCATAATGAATCTCAAAGGTTTCTATTTTTAAACTGGATGCCAAACATTTTAATTTTGGTTTAATATTTCACATCTAAGATTTTTGTAACTCTCTAATCCATCATATATATTTTTAACTGAGGTTTTTCATATTTCACGTGAATCCCTCATAAACAGCAGCGGTATCAAGTAGTCAAACCTGAAATTCTCAAAAGGTTTCTTTAAAAAAGCAAACTTTAAACAAAAAACAAAGCTCTTTTATTCTCATCAATATGTCAAGTGTTTATAGCCCTTTATTGCTCTAAATTACTGAGGAGGGAAGGGACTGTTTTTCATCACATTGTTTTGCTTGCAAAAACTACAAAATAAATCCTGATCCTTTATTAAAGATTCGCATATATTTAGCAGCCTGTAGTAACAGAGGAGAAAGTAGGGTTTTATGATGTTCTCAAAAGTGTCGTATAATTGTAATAATTTGATTGTAAACTGATCTAACTTCTATTTCCTGTTCTTGGATTGTTTAAAATAGCATGGCATGTTGTTTATTTGTTGTGCTACAATTAAAGTGTTTGACTATGAAATTATAAATATGCATTTTTGTTTCTGGTAAATATTAAGTGACAAGTTATTTTAATATGTTAAGCATATCATTACATTTACATGAATATTAATTGAAACTTTACCGACAAAAGACAAATAATGTTTGCTAGATCGAAAGCTTTAAATGTTTTCTAGTATTTAAGATGTTTAAACGGACCAATTTACTTAAAACAATACTGAAATAAATCATATAAATAGATATAAATATCTAGATTGTTGATATTTTAATTAAATTGCTCATTCACTCTAACTCCTGATGGCTTCCCTAATACTTGTCTCTGAGTGCTTTAAATAAGGTGTATAAAAATAGTGAAAAAGTAAGTATTATTTCTATTTTTTTACTTTCAACAGGTGTGCATATAATCCTAAGAAATAATTATTTTGTTTTTAACTCTCTGCAGCCTGTTTCTATATTGGAAAACAATAAAGTTCAAAGGAAAGCCTCCTCCACACCGAAGGAGGGTGTCCATTGGTCTATTCTCCCTCTGCAATCACCTGATGAGAGCGAGGGGCAGCGGTGAGCAGACAGACTTCGGGTTATAAGCATCAGCGGAAGAATTGGAAGGACCATTGACCATGCAGGTGGAAAAACGGTTTCCAAATAAACGGATAAATAGGGCAGCTGTGGATGCAGATAAAGACTCAATGCGGATTCCATCACTGTGATTTATACTCCGTTTGGCATCGGCTTTCTTGGTGGCAAATTAATAACCCGTCGTAAAGAAGAAGCAGGAGGAGGTGGAAAGGCTTCAATAAAGGACGGACAAAAAGGGGGAGTGCGTAAAAAAAAAGGGGGGGAGAGCAGATAAAACCTGAGCGTGGATCATGAGCTCTGCATTGCCTTACGACTCGCTTTCGGCTCGGCCGAGTCCCAGCAGAAGAGCTCTGGACTTGGAGCGGGAGCAGTTAGCTGTCAGACGACTTTCCTCCCCACTTGGTGTAAACCTGCTCACTCCTCCTCCGCTTCCTCGCCGACCTTCTGCCATCCCAGGCTATCTGCTGCCTCCCTACCAAGAACAAGAGGAGCAGCTTCACCAGCAGCTTCAGCGTCTGTCCTTATCTGTTTGCTCAGAAGCATCCCTGGCGCCTCCTGCTCCTCCCCTGGTGGGTGCAGCCCCACCGTGCTGTCGCCCAGTGGGAGTCATGCACCTCCTTCGTCTGGGACTCCTGGCTTTCAGCTGCCTCTTCTGGGCGGCTGGATTGGCCATCTTCACCCTAGGTGTATGGGCACAGATCTCTTTGGCGGACTACATGACACTGTCAGCCAATCGGTACCCAAACGCCCCGCTTATCCTTCTCTCTACTGGTGCTGCGGTAACTGCGTGGGGTTTCCTGGGTTGCCTTGGGGTGGCTGCAAACTTGCCCTGTGTCCTGAGGGCCTACGGGTTCTTTCAACTTGCCACCCTAGTTGCCGGTTTGGCTGCTGGACTTTCAGGGCTCTTCTACCGCGAAGACATTGCTGGAGGATTTCGCAGTGGCTTGCAGCGAGCCGTGGCAGGCTACACGGAAGATGAAGGCCGTGCCGACGCTCTAGACAGTCTTCAGAGGGCCTTGGAGTGCTGCGGCGCTGAGGGTTGGCGCGACTGGCTGACGTCGGACTGGGCCATCCAGCATATGACCTTCGTCCCCATGGAGAACGGCACCTCGGTGTCCCTTCCAGACAGCTGCTGCGTGAGGCGGAAGGGCTGCAAGAATCGTCCTCTCCTGTCAGATGACAACGACGGAGTGGTTGCTGCAGGAATCCACCCACATGGCTGCTTTCGTAAAGTCTTCAGCTTGGTCAACGACAATGTCTTCCACATTGCTGCAACTGTGTTAGGATTAGCCTTTACACAGATAGGAGGCATCGCTCTAGCTTGTCTGCTGGCCAACAAACTAGCACCTAGACAGCATGGACGGGTTGTGGCGCACTGATGGTCCATCTAAAGATTTTACTGATCTGATGACCAAAAGGTTCTTAATATGTGAGGCCATCTTTCTACAGGAAGAAAGCATCAAGCAGATCATTTAAAACTAATGTATCATATTAAAAGATGGAAATTTCCTTCCTTCACATGACCGTTATTCATTTTAAGTCTTTTATTTTTAAGCTGAACTGAAAAACAAAGAATGAAAATGTCCTACGGGTAGCTCAGAGCTTAATAATTTAATGCGTTTAAGTTGAATATTACCAGATTCTATGATGCTACATGTTTGAAAACAGACCCGGTTCCTGATTTCTTCCTATTTCTTCAGCTTTAAGGTTTGTAAGTAAGTTTTAAAAGTATTGGGTACCAAATGCTGAGCAAAAAAACTTTCATTTGCTTCATTTTTAACAAAATGAAGCATACTGTGCAATGTCGCAGTTGTGACATGCGAGTCTGAATTGAACTTTTCATGGTTCCTGCATAGATTTCTTGAAAAAAATAAAATTATTTAGGAAAAAAATAAAAAGCACTGTTTAGGCTCTTAGCTTTAAGGAGGAAAGAAAGGCAGAATGGCTCAATGAAAGGAGAGTAATGACAGAAGGAATGAAAAAAGGAATTAGAAACTTGGAAAGGAAGGAACGTTAGATACAAAGAAAAAAGGACATAAGGGGAAAAGGGAGGCTGAACACAGCTTGGAAAGAAGAATAAAGATGGAACAAAGAAATGGAACAATTGGTTAATGAAGGACAAGAGAAGGAAGTAGATGAAAAATAAAGAAAGAGAGGAAGATAAACAAAAAAAGGACAAAATATTAGGCAGAAACTAATGAGCATAAGGAAGGAGGAAAGGGAAAAGGAAGTAAAGACACAAGAAGACAAAGAAGAGTGAGAGGAAGGACACACAGAGGAAGGATATGTGAACAAAAAAATCAGGAAATACAAATCACATCTAATATCTTGCTTTCTTTCCGTATAATTTTCCAGGCTTGGAAAATATAAAAAAAAATTCTAAACCTATTTCCAGACAGTGTAGGAATCTTCTATTGAGTTGGATCGAAACGGTTCCATTCTGAGGAACATTACAAATGTGCATCAGAGGAGCAGGCAATGACTATAACCAGCAGCTAAGATGATAACATTGCTGAAAAATGTCACAATTCTCTCCAGGACACCCCCCCCCCTTTCCAAATATTTAGGCTCCCATCTGCTTCATTAAATTTTCCCATCACAAAGACGTCGTCCCCGAAACCCTCTGGTATTTCATGTTGTATATAAACCTGCCTGCAGTCACTTTCACTTTAGCTGGATTTGAGCAGCATTTATCTTTTCCAGATGTCACAGCCTTATCAGATGGTCCCACAGAGGAAAAACTAATTTATTCCCAGATGTACGGCATGCCTAATATCCGGTTTGGCCTCCAATTAGCATGAACACCATCTTGAAATAAGAGTTTTTTTCTCCTTAATGAATGCTGTGTGTTTTTGTAACAAGGAAGTTTTGAAATTCTGTGCACAAAAATAGGTTAGCCTTCATTCCCCCTCTTAAAATGGTGTACCTACACTATATATTGTGTTTATTAACATTGTGTATGACCTGTTCTTCCAATCAGCAGCATGGCTGAGAATGTAAAATATATGTGTCTACTATAAATGAAAAATCTTTGCTTCATTACAGTTTATTGATTGGACATGGAGGGGATGGAAATGTCAAGGTCTGCTGCCCTTGAATGAATTAAATGTATAAATGGAGGAAGCACCCGTGCAATGCAGCAGTGACTGCATGCAAACACATTATTAGCAAACATATATGTATAATATTTGTATATAATAAACTGTTGTTATGCATATTGTGGTTTTCAAAGTGTTGTTATTTTTTCACATTCTTGCCCTTAAAAATGCTGATTGCATTTTATAGAGCTTTGGTTTGAAGTGTGCCAGAGTTGTAAATCTCTTTGTCAGGTAAAAAGTCAATCATTATCCGGATCTTTGGCCAAGTAATTCTGAATAGTAGCCAACTGAATGAAGGCTCAATTCCGCCTGGCACCTGTGACTCAAGTGATTAAAAGCCAGTAAAAGAAACAACATAAACAAAGCTGTGAGAAATAAAACACAGCTTCCTGGTTCCCCATTCATTTTAGAAAAAAAAATATTCAACAGATTTAGAGAGTCTGTGTTAAAATCATATTTACTGGATATATGTGTGCATGGGGCGGCTGCTATAAGCTGGAACCATGACAACCATTTTCATGATCTAATTATTCTATTGATTAGCCTACATTTTCCTGCAACAAGCCAAGAGGAGGCTCTCTGTGTGATGTTGCAGCTCATGTTTGACCTATTTTTTTTTTTTTTTGACGTGACATCACAGCAACAGCACCAGTGAGAGGTCATAATCAATCATCGTGAGCATGAATATCCCATTCATTTTGAGCTTTATTGATTACTTCCATTTTTTCCCATACTTACCTTTTTCTGAAATTGCAAAATACAGTTGCAGCATGCGACTTTTAAAAGCTCTAAATGTATTTTCTGTAATCTAGATAAGGGAATGTTTATGCACAGATTTCCAGAAACACTGTGTACATTGTCCCTAGCAAGTTGTTGTTCAACCATAACCTTTTTTTTTATAGCTAATAAAACTCTTCAGGGATAATTCTGGCAGGATATATGACCACTCTTTCCTGGTACACTTACAGCATAGTCTAGCACTTAGTGTGAGTAATGTTAACATTTAAAGACAGACTCCCTTTTTTACACAATGATCCTTCCACCACCCTATTTGACAGTTGGTAAAGTTAGGTTTCAAAGCTTCATTTGGACTCATCAGTGTGTAGTTAATGTCATTGTTGGAAGGAGGGCGGAAATGCAGACTGAAGCTGAAGGATGTTACTTGCAGATTTCTTATCCAAAAAGGGTTACCGGTAACAGAAGCAAAAATCCAAAACTGAAATCCACAAAATCTGAGAACCAGTAATAGTCACAAGAAGGGGGCAAAAAATTACGACAAACCAGCAAAGAGTAAATAAACAGGAGGAGATTATATGGGAGAGAGAAACAAAGACCAGACTAATTAGCAGATTGGGAGCAGGTGTGAACAGAGGCAGGAAGGGAGCTAGGGAAAAGGAGGCTGACACAAGAGGGCAAAAAGGAAATATCTAAGAACTAAAAAACAACCAAAAATAACTACAACACAAAAATGGAAATAAGAACAATGAAACTCAGAGATAAAACTTAAACAGAACCAACTAACTAACTAAATGGAAGTTTGACAATGGTAGGGTTTTGCCCTGCTTTATAAAAGTTGGGCGCAGTTTTCAGTTAAAACAGGACAGTAACCTCAGAATTACCACAGAACTTGTATCTGAATATATATCAAAATGCTAATTTTAGCTTAATCGATCAGAACTGTGCATCACAGACTTCCCCTGGCTTCCGGAATATAAATCAGAAGCCAGGGGAAACCCATAGGGGCTTCCTTGTTTTTTTTTTTTTTTTTTTTTTTTTTTATGTAAGGGGAAAAACTACACCCAAGACAGAAAGTATTTATCACAGTCATTAAGAGAAGCTTGAATTTATATGTAAATTCCTGTAAACTGCACTGCTTTGCCACACATATTCTGACCCCATTTTCTTGCGAAATACTTTTAGCTCAGTCTGCATTCACAAAAGGATTTCTCCCAATATTTAAGATTAATGTAATTTTATTGCAAACAAATTACCATTCACTTAAGATAATTTTAATGCAAATCTAGTAAACCTTACATGATATATACTAATTCGCTTAATAAAGCTTATTTATAGGGTATTACAGGCTGACAAAGAACCCAAACCCCATTCCTGGGGGGGGACCCATTCGTCAGGTTCAATTTGGATGTTTTCTAAGCCACAACAAGGCTTTGTTCTTGGTCCTCTCTATAAAGCCTCAAATGCAGTGCTATTTCTGACTCTTTAAATTGAAAAAAGTCCAGTGGATTTTTTTTTTTTTTTTACTTTTTTACTTGTTTGGAATACTTATGTAAAATATATAATCATCAGGTTTATGTATTTAGAATAGGTCAAATATAATAACCCAAACTTAAGTCCTCAGAGAATGATATATTTTAAAAATACTTAAAGATTATTGGTTGAATTGCCTAATAATCCGGTAACCTCTTTATGCGATTCTAACAATAAACTTTATGTTTAAGAAATAATACATACATAAACCTGAAGATTATGTTTTTCAAATAAATACTATATGTCACGATTGGTTATGGTTTGTTAAGCAGAGGCAGAGGTGAATTTCCTGTGGATTTAATTATGCGTTAACTGAATGCAGAAGCAGGTTATCCAAAATCTAAATATGAAAAACAAAGTCCAAGCTAACGATAAACCAAAAATTCAAAAAAGAAAACAAAGTCCAAACTAACAGGAAACCAGGAGTCCAAAAACCCAAAAATCAAAACAAGAAAACCCGTCAAAACCAACCAGAAACCACGGAGACATCAGGGTGATAACAATCACAAGGAGGAAGGCTCATAGAGACGGAGTTGGAGGTAGTATGTAGAGGAACCAGCACTGAACAACTGCACAGAGAGAGTATTTATGGGAGGCTGAAACAAAAGGAGAACTAACGAGCAGATTGGGAGCAGGTGTGAGCAGAGCAGAAACAAGAAAGGAGCAAGAGAAAAAAGGAGAACTCAAGAGGGCAGCAGAGGGCAACAAATAAAAACCTGAGAACTGAAAATAACCAGAAATCATAACAAAATAAGAATGAAACCACAAAAAATAGAAAACATGGAACAAAGTAAAACAGAATACACAAGAGAAAACATAACAGAACCAAGACTATAACACTATATATAGATGAATTTGCATTATATGGTTTATTTAATAGGTTTGTGTTAAAATTATCTATAAAAAAGTAAATGAAATTTGTTTTGTAAAATTAAAAAAATCTTAAATTCATGTTTTAGGATGTATATATTAGGAGTTTTGTGTAATGCTCGTTTTTTATCACATGAAGGGGA